GACTGATATGAACATTTTTATCGTGAGAATGTTTTTGGCCATATCGCCCAGCCCTAGGTACAATTGACTTGTGAACTGCAATGCTATTTTTATATTTTGGGGATTAGAAAGAACCAGCATTGATGAGTGCCTGTCAAACCACAATAAAAGTAAGGTGCACAGTAACTTGTAAATTGGAGATTTGACATCTAAAATAGACAATTTCCAGGTATGCGCAGCGCCGCGTTCCGTGATGCGGAACAAGGCAACAAAACGTGACACGTTGGAACCTTATTACATTCCAAGGAAGCAGGCCCCCAATTTCGAGATGGTTTGGCCTTACTTGTTAAGCGGATCACCTTGGAACATTTCTGCAGTGAAATGTCTGCCGCGCCAGCTGTACGTACTCGCCCGTACATCACAGTCATGACAGCGACTAGTGAGCAGAATGGCCACATCACTTTCTGCAGTCTCTTCTGAAGTGGAAATCTAATAAGTAAATTGATTCTTAAAATGTAGAGAGGTTTGCAAAAAACATATTGGTGCTTTTAGAACATATATTTCAAGGATGTAATTGCTGTGCTACAGTACGTGCAGAATTATAGAAAACAGTGCGTTAACAAAGTACACTGTTTAGGTTACTTTAGAAGACAATGTACCAAAACAATATATGCTGTCTGGGTCGTTAGAATTAGCCAAAAGTAACTGATAAGCTTTGAATAACAAATCTAGTGCCTCTTCTCTCGCTCTATGATGTAATCTGTTTTGTCTTAGGGAAAGGGGAAGTTTTAGAAGGGACAAAGCGCTGAGCTTTTTTACAGCGCAACGTCTTATAAAAACCCTGTACTGCTTGTAACAAATTGAGTCTCTGATTGCACTTTGCAAAGTGGGCTCCCAATATTGCAATATTGAAATAAAGACCTTATTCAGGTGAGAACTCTCTCTTGTGGCTTCCTTGATAGGCAAATTTCCTCGACACTTCCCTTTGCCGGTGGCGAGACCAGGGCTTTCCAACGACACGGCGACTTACAGTACTTTCACAAAGTTCTCCATTTTACCAAAAATGTGCAAAATCTTTCAGTGACGCCACCAAATTCACTTTGTTACCGAGATGGAATACCGGATCTGAGAAATTGGGATGGCAGGTCCCCTTTCATCCTCCCTTCTTAGATTAGCAACAGCACAAAGTAAAGCAAAATGGCACTTCCCACTGTCTTCCAGCCAGTACAAGCTACGTAGATGCTAGTCAGTGAGCTGCAAGAACTTGACTTGACTGTCTCCATGGCAACAGCCCAGTCACGGCCTTTCTGGTGCTGCCTCTCACCTGAGCGAGCGCAAGATGCATCTCCAGCTCGGCAATCCTCTTGCCTATACAGCTGCGAATTCCGTAGCCGAAGGGGATGGAACCGAAGTTGTCCACGTGGTCGCTGCTGTCCTTCCGCACCCAGCGCGCGGGATGGAACTCGGTGGAAGAGGGAAAGCATTCGGCATCCAGCGAAGTGGAGTAGTGGCACAAGGCCAGCTGGGTCTGGGAGCCAGAGAGAAAGGGCTTATGTTAATCAGGGATTCTTTGGGCGCCAGTACTACGACTGCTGATAATATAATAATTAATAATTGCTTACACTTATATAGCGCATTTCTGGACACTCCACTCAAAGCGCTTTACAGGTAATGGGGACTCCCCTCCACCACCACCAATGTGCAGCCCCCACCTGGATGATGCGACGGCAGCCATAGTGTGTCAGAACACTCCCCACACATCAGCTATTAGTGGGGAGGAGAGCAGAGTAATGAAGCCAATTGATAGATGGGGATTATTAGGAGGCCATGATTGGTAAGGGCCAATGGGAAATTTGGCCAGGACGCCGGGGTTACACCCCTACTCTTTTCGAGAAACGCCCTGGGATTTTTAATGACCAAAGAGAGTCAGGACCTCAGTTTTACGTCTCATCCGAAGGACGGCACCTGTTTACAGTATAGTGTCCCCGTCACTATAGTGGGGCATTAGGACCCACATGGACCGCAGGGTGAGCGCCCCCTGCTGGCCCCACTAACACCTCTTCCAGCAGCAACCTTAGTTTGCCCCGGTTTGGGCTGTTCATAAATGAAGAGAGCTGGCCCGTGCCCTCAGCCATGCCTTGCGCAGTACTAGACTCCCGCTTGCCGTGACCCTGATCAGGACAAGCAGCTTTCGGATATTAAATGGATGGAAATACATTTTTAAACATCCCGTCACAAACATGATGTCAATTCACTTTATTCCATGACCCATGCAGCATAGAGAGGGAACATCTCTACTCTCGGATTTTCAGTTTTTTTTGGGGGGGGGAAACGTTTTATTCATGTTCAGTTTGGTAAAAAAAAAAACAGAAATGAAGAGCTGAAAGTAATCACTTTCCTGCTATTTCTGTCCGCATTTTAAAACCTTAACTCACCCCTTTGGGAATGTGGTAGCCTCCTACCACCAGGTCCTGCTGGGTCACCCTCCCATTACCGGGCAGGACTGGGAACAGCCTGCAGAGAAAAACTAGGTGTTAAACACCACCACGAGTATGATCTCCGAACACTTGTAGCAGTCGACTGAGATTAATTTCCCACCATCCAAAGCTTTGGAGCACATCCAAAGACTGGACCTATAAAACTAGACTTAAAAATACAGCCTCCAATGTTAAATGAAATATTTCTATTCAAATTGCACTGTATAATCCAAGTTGATAGTCCAAAAACCAATGGACAACTGAATTCAAAACAATTTACCATACTACAGATTTTTTTAAAGGAAGTGTATTCGAGCAATTGAGAGTTACAATGCATTAGCCTTCTTCATATAAATAGGATTCTGTTTAATTAATTGATTTTGCCATTTCTTTACACACCTTGGAACAGTACAGACCTATGCAAAATTATATTGAATTAAAAGACTAGTCAAAAATGAAGCAAGGAAATCCAAACCATATGTAAACTTCTGATTCATGACTGCGTAGATTTAAAATGCACTGCGATAAGCCTATTTATCGCCCTGAATTGTGTACATTACACAGTAGGGTCCAGTGTAAAAGGTGAACCAACCAAATGACCTCTAAAACTACCTTAGAATTAACTGGACTGAATGATTTGGGAATTCAACAGAATTGAGATTTAAAATCGGATGAGCACATGTGTATTATTTATCACCATTAAAATAACAGAGGTGACATGAACTTAGCCAATTCCACATAAATAAATAAAAAACCCATCTGAATTAATAGGGATGTTTAAAACATTTCTTACAGGATCAGCTCCTTTTCTCAGTTCACAAATATAGAAGGGCCATTTGAAAATAGACTTAGTACGATCAGTCAACATTGGCTCCACCAGGCAGTTCTGTACACACGGCTCTGTGGTAAAATAGGAAGATTTCTTCCTTTTTTCCCCCTCAACAGTTTGAAATATTTCAGTGTTGCACCACCGTGTTTGTCTCTTCACAGTAAAGAGAACATTTTCAGCTTGTAATCTCTTCACCCACTCTTAAAAAAAATAAGAAAAATAAACATTTTCTACCAAACTGGCCACTCAGATACCGTATTTAATAAATAATCTGCAGCATTTAAAAGGGAATCTCAATAAATAACTGGATTTTATGTCAATGTCCCTAATTTATCAATGAACAACATAAATAAACATGTAAACATAAACAAATAAAATGCTAAAGGCACTAGGAAACAGAGGGTCTGAAGTTGAGCGGCCATAGCACAAACCTCAAAGTCTCTTTTACAAGTCCTCTGATGAGAGGCAGGCGGGTAATATCTTCGGCAACAGGCACCTGGTCATGTCCTAGGTTATTCACCACCTCTTCGTAAACAGCCTGCTGGACATGGGGGTGTTTGGCTAGCAGGTAGGTGCTCCAGGACAGTGTGAAGGACGTCTGAGAACGGAGACACATGGGAAGATCAGTCAGGGAAGACTGCATACAGGCCATACCCTGGGGTTTTAGAACCAGCAACTGCCTTGTCTTTAACCAAGAACTGCAAAAGATATTAACCATGAAATGATATGTTTAAAGTTGCGGTGGCAGGGTGGCACAGTGCTGGGGCCCTGGGTTCAATTCCTAGGACGCCACTTGTGTGGAGTTTGTGTGTTCTCCCCATGTTCATATAGGTTTCTTCCCTCTGTCCAAAAACAGTGATGGGTTAACTATCTTCGGGGAACACTGGCGCCCGGTGTCGAGCGTACATGTGTCCGTGCAATGTGGTAGACTGCCGGCCCACCCTGGGGGTACCCAGTCTTACACGTTTGCCAAATGGGCTCCAACCCCCTGCGACCCTAAATTGGAAGAAGTGGCTTTAGAAAACGGATCGGCTAATTCAACTTTCGGAAGATCCTTTATAAAGTTGGAAGCTTTCTGTGCTGAATTTATAAATTCGGTAAGAATAATAGGAAATATAGCCATGTTTCTACACACTGCTCCAGCCCCAAGAGGGGGATGGAGAGCTGGCAATGATAAATTCACTTTATTTATTGGTACCGGCCGTGGAGAGGGAGGGGAGAATGGATATTTTTTTAATATTATGTGTCGAGGGAAAGATTGTTTTTTCTTTGTTTTGAATTGGGGTTACACCGAGAAACGTTTAAAATGAATAACTTGGTCATAAAGATGCACTTAATCCACCAAGATGTGTTAGCACCCCTAAGCACAGAAATAAGCTGCAATAAAGCACACAGAGTAGAGGAGTACCACAGAAATGCACTTTCAGATTACTGCTGTTCCCAATTCTGAATTCTAACTATACCAACTTAAACTGTGTGTGGTGGTGTGTTTGTGGAAGGTGGCTGCGTTACTTTCAATGTGGGTCACAATTTAAGCCAAAGTCACTGCACTCTTAAACCTAACTGACAATGTGGGACATCACCACAGAGGAAACCTTTTTTTTTCTAAACCATCATTTCTTTTAAATCTAAAATTGCCTACGGTTGAAATTTTTGGAACATTTTTTTCGTTGTTTGCAGTTCTATTTCCATACAACATGAAACAGTAAATACAAGCAGAAAGGTAGATCAATGGTAATTACCCATAAAAACAGGAACATGTTTTGCATTGATAAATTAGCACTAGGTATTGGACTGTAAAGCCACAGTATAAACATGCAATGACTTGTAATTAGAAGAAGCAACCTAAAAAGTTCACAATGAAATATCCCTGCTCTCACCTACAAAGTGATAAAAAAGTAAAATTGCAAGTGTATATAGTGAAGACAACAGGCTAGAAAAGAAATAAAAGGCAAAGTTATTCACTGAATGCATTCAGATATTTGGAATACAGCTCATGAAGCGCTAGACAAAAAAAATCCACTACACAATTCTCATCCTCTCTTTGGCACACACAACTTACAGCAGCAGGCAAGTTTGCTTTAAAAAAAAATGATAGCTCCAAATTCAAGGGTGTTTTAAAAAATGGTCTGGAACTTAAAATGGGAAAATCTGTTGACCTGAAACAAGTGTCGTATCAAATTGTTCTGACTTCAGTGGAGATAAAGCTTTTTTTTTTGGCAGAATTATTAAGCAAACTAGTGCAACGAAATTTTCAGCATTCCTTCACCTTTGTACACTACAAAAATCAAACTAGCAAAAGTAAACTGTCTGAAGGCCAGTTTTCTGAACCCCTAGTTCTGTAAGCAGTCTCTTTGCATGATGCCAAGACATACCGATTGAAAGCCAAGCTTATCTTACCTTAAATGTTTAACTTAACATCACTTTATTAACCCTTTACAATTTCTTGCATTAGGAATAATCTCTTCGCATACCCCAGCTTGCTCTCCATGAGACACACAGTCAGGAAGAGAGCCTGGAGGCAGAGCAGTTGGGGTTAAGGGCCTTGCTTAACCCCAACAGAGTAGGATTCCTCTGCCAGCTGTGGGATTTGAACCAGCAACCCTCTAGCCACAGGCGCAGATCCTTAGCTACAGAGCCACCGTTCCGCCCCTAACTATAACGAGTCATCAATCCCATCTCTCTCTATAATGATCACGTTCGGCCTTTTACCAACAGCTGTGCTGTTTAAGCAGCGAGGGACGTGCAGAACAGCAGGGCAGAAAAATGTGCAGGATGAAACCGAGGGCCCAGACTGCTGTGAAATGGCCTCTGCAGGACCCTACAGATCCGAGTGCGTGTCTCGGTATGAGCCAGAGAGCTGTTATACCGTGTCAACTCCTGCCAGCAGCATCTCCGTCATGTTGGCATAGATCTCCTCCAGGGTCATCTCCTTGCCAACCAGTAGCTGCGTTAGCAGGCCTCCTTTAATCTCTTTGCCAGCGGCAAGCTGCGACTTTATTTCAGACAGTTTTTTGTCCACGTGAATCTGACCTGCGAAAGAGACAAAAGCCGCCATTGAAACCCCCTTGCCTCAGCTCCCGCGTTTGCCATTTTGTAATTCTCTAGGACAAAAAAAAAAGATATCAGTTACTTTTAACCTCACTTGTCCCATAATGACCACAATGCATCAAGTGTGTCTAATAAAAATGAAATCTGGGCTCTCCAAGTTGTGATTTTCTCTGCTAAGAGGGAGTAATTAATTTGCCCAAGCCAGGAGTCTAGTTCTTAGGGTTTTTAAAAAAAAACATTCATCCAGTAAAATGTCCAACATCCTGCTTCTGCTTCACATTTATCCTTCAGGTTTATGTTTTTTTTCCCCTTAATAAAGTGCCTTCAGAATGCATAAAGGATGAACTCTTCCACCACTTCTGACCAGCCAAAGATTAACACACACTACTAGGCTACAGACTGCAAGGTGATATCACTGCCTGAAACACACAGATCACATTTCAAACTGTGTACTATGCATGTTTACAGCCGTTCCCACAATGCACTGCTTGATCTTTTTTAATAACACTATGGAAAAGCTCACAAAATTAGTCTATTTTAAAGAACAAAGATCAATGAAGTTAAAATGGAGTTCAAAAGATCTATCAGAACATTGCGATTTTATTCTTGAAAATGTATTTCTATCTATCCAAAGGTTATTCCACAATTTTCTCTTGCCACGACTTGTCCTATGATTAGGCCAGTGTCTTTAGTTTCACCAATATTTTGCACAGAATTGTAGATTCGCTCTAAATAAGCTGCAAGGAAGGAAGAAACAGTGTTTCAGCACCCGGTTTTACTCTGATGTTTTCAAACACCTTGAGAAAACGTCTGGAAGAAAAAGGTGGGTTTAAAATAAAAAAAGGATCTGGGGTGTAGTCTTGGTGCGGCAGGATTTTACACCGCTCAGCGATTTAATCCATCGAAATCCTTACTGAATTTGAAGAGGCCATCCCAGGACCTGCAGAACTCATTCCAGGGCTTGGGAATGATGGGGCGAAGCCACTTGGGAATGGCACCCGCATACATGGTGGTCTTGAACATGCTGAACATCAGGTGTAGGGCTGCAATGTACTCCAGACTCTGTTTAGGAATCTCCTCTTGCAGGCAGCCCAGTCTCGTCTCGTACAGAATACAGGCCACACCTGTAGGAGGTACACAATGGGGACAGAGCTTGCCTGGGTCAAACCTTTACCATCACAGCATGCAACAAACCTCAAGGAACTGCGAAATAGTCTAAAATGCCATATGTTATTTTATTCACACACAAAACTTTGGGTATTGTGATGAACCCAAATCAAGCCTGCTGAGGATTTCTTGTTTAAACTAAATCAGACAAGAGAAACTGGAATGTTGCCATGATTAAATTTGTTTGCTGCTTACATATTTATTAATAGTGTTTTTTGTGCAGTTAACTACGTTTCTTTCTAACCTACAGGGGACTAAATATTATACCGCGTTACACAGAAAAGGGAAAAAGGAGAAATTTATAAAAATGCAAATCAGAAACAGGTCTTAAAGGAGTGTCAGCATATTCTGAGTTTATACTTCTGATAAAAGTATTCTCTAATAGTGTGATCTATTCAGATGAACAAAAATTCAGTGTCAGAGCAATATTTTTGAAACATTAAAAAAAACTTGACAGCGTTCGGTTTGGCCGTTTAACTAGAGTTACTGCCCTCGGGCGACAACACGCAGGGCACTTGGTCTCACCTTCCATGGCGTACTTGAAATAGAGATCGTTCACATTCATCACGGTCTGCCCGGCGCCGTCCTGGCTGCGCAGAGCATGGATCCTCTTGATCAGGTCCGCCACCACCCCGTTGACGTCATCGGAGAAGACGGCGACATCGCGGGGACGCATGATCCTCTGCCGCAGAGCGCTGCGCATCTTCAGCCAGTCCTCACCCTCCCTGGGTCACACACACACACAAGTCCACGAGAACGTCTGGATCTCCGTAAATCACAAGACTGACGAATCGTCGCAAGCTTTTCGGTCAAGACTTTTAAATTAGAGGTCATTTTTCAAAAAGTCATGGCATTTACCAAACCACTTTATACCTTACGGTGTCGCGGGAAGCCGAAGCCAGCAAGCAACCTTGCCCAAGGCAGGCTACCCCCTGGATGGGACGCCAGTCCAATATAGGGCAAGTGCAAGCCAATCATACATGGGGACAATTTGGAGGCCACAGTAAAGGCCGAGGGGGTAAATATGCCCCGAACACCGGGATAATTGCTCTTATCGAGACATGCCCAGGGATCTTAAATGACTGCTGAGAGTCAGGACCTTGGTTTAATGTCTCCTCAGAAAGACGGCGCCCACTACAGTATAGTGTCCCCGCCACTATACCGGGGCATTAGAACCCACACAGACTGCAGGATGCGCACCCCCCACTGGTCCCACTAACACCACTTCCAGCAGCAACCATAGCTTCCCAGGAGGTCTCCAATCCAGGAACTGTCCAGGCTCAACCCTGCTTAGCTTCAGTGGGTAGCCAGTTGAGAGCTGCCGCCATTTTAGGGTGATACGGCTGCCGGCATTTTAAAAAAGTACATTTCCAAAACATCCTGAATTCTTTACTACGAATACTGTGGGAGGGGTTGAATCCACGTGCAGAACGGTGGATGATTTGACGCATGGCCTCGGACGTCAGATTACACTGTGCCACCAAGGAGCTTTGCCAGGCTCACATTAACACCATAACACTACCAAAAGGGCGACAGGAAAATGTGGCTGAAAAAAGTCAAGAAACTAAAATATCAAAGACCCTGGACAACAGTTCTGATACAGTACAGAGCTCGTTTTTTTTCAGAATGGAAAAGAAAACATGGTGGTGAGCATTGCCGTCTCAGAACGCCAGGCGGGGGCCTGCGTTTTATTCGTGGGGTGCTGTATGTGTGGAGTTTTGTATGTTCTCCCCTCGTTCACATGGGTTTTCTCTAGGTACTCTAGTTTCCCCCCCACCCCACCACAGTCCAAAGACATATTGGTAGGTGAACTGGTTTCAGGGAAAAACCAGGCCTGGTGTGAGTGGGGGGTGTTTTTGTCTATGATGAACTGGAACCCCTTTCGGGGGTACATCTGGCCTTGCACCCCTTGATTGCCAGGACAGGCTCCGGCATAAGGCCGTTAGAAAACAGATGGATGGAAAAGAAGACAAGGCTTCATTAAACCAGACAATCTGCCCCATGAGACAGCCCTGACCGCAGGTCCGATTTCTGGTTACTCACGCAGAAATGAGGCCGGTAGCCCGGCCCCTCATATCCCGATATTCTTTCCAGGATTCCATATTGGCTCTCTGAGGTGCCCGCCCTTCGGCCCTCAACACCTGAGCCACCATGTCCTTGTCTGCGACGGACACCACCAGCTGGGGGCCAAACCGGGACTTGAAGATCTTGCCATACTGATGCGTGTGTTTCAGCTGGAGAGAAGACAAACGCCCGACATTTGCCACTGGAATAGTGGGGAAAACCCGATACCGCCAGGTTAGAAGAGACAACTCGCTATCCCCTTTCGCCGACTTTATAAAAACAGCCAATAGCGCAGGGTTGGAAAAGAATCAAAATGTCCTATTTCCGTAGCGGGGAAATTAAAAACTGTTTTCTACCGGATGGCATTGCTGCCTTAAAGCACTGGGGCCCTGGGTTCAATTCTGGACCTGGGGTGCTGTCTGTTTGGAGTTTGTATGTTCTTCTTGTGTTTGTGTGGGTTTCCTCCCACAGTCTAAAGACATACTGGTAGGTTAATGGACTGGTTTCTGGTGCAAGGTGGGTTAGGAAAAAAGATGGATATGGATATATCCTTCAGGTTTGGACTAGGCAAGTATACACAGTTTTGGCCTGAGGCATTCAAAATCTGTGTGAATGCCTTGAGTCCCACTTAAAAATAACAGTTTTGAAAGACTCTCAAGGCAGCACTACCCAAGATATTAGAGCTGTATTAATGTGAGGTTTACAGCATGGGTTCCGAGAACCATCTCGAGCTACCTTGGTGAGGTAGCAGTAACTGGTCAAATCGTGTAATTTAACCACTGATATGAAGGTATATGTAGAAATAAATACCAAAAGTAAACAAACCTGTGGTATTAAGCCTTTCAGCTTAGCCACTCTGCAATATAGTCTCTGAAAGGAAATCCTCAGCACACAAAAGAGGCCTTCATTTATTTATTTACACCTTGATTCTGACTACATTTTCACCAGGATACTGAGCCGTGCAAAAGCATTCGCCTCCTTTTCAGTGTTGTTTCATTTCGCTGAATTACAAATTGATACAGCTTTTACAGTGACTATTTCAAAGAAAAAGGCAAATGACACAATCGGTTAAAATGGCCTCAGCCTGCACACAATAACAGTGGTTCACAAGTCCCTCAGTCGGGTAGTATATTTCAAGCAGAGAACAATAAAGACCAAGGAGCTTTCGCTGTATCTCAGGGATAATGTTACACAATGGGAAGACGAGGTCAGGAGAAGGGTAGAAAAAAACATGTATACTGAATATCCTTTTGAGTATGTAGATCGTTACCAAAGGTGTATCACACCACTCAGACAGCATAGAGCAGAGGGAGATCACTGTGATTAAATGTCTACGAGACAAACACATTCCGGTCACTCCACAAAGCTGCCTTGAAAAAAACCGCCCTTTCCAGCATGGAGTTTGCTACAAAGTTTTTCAAGTGAAACTGCAAACAAGTGGTAAAAGGTTTTGTGGTGAAAAAATAGAACTTTTTGACCTAACAATAAAAAGGAACAAGTAATAGGTTTATTCCATGCTGAAAAGAGAAGAAAACACAACGTTTCGGCTGAAGAAGGCTCCACGGCCGAAACGTTGTTTTCTCTCTTCTCTTTTCAGCATGGAAAGAAATATATTACTTATTCCTTTGCTGACTACGCATGCTGACGCAGCTACCCACCTGAACTAACAGTAAAAAGGCTGACGATGTCAGATAAAAGCGATTACCTTTTAACTGTTAAGATCAAGGGCCAATTGGCTTTACAATACTTCATTAAAGATTTGTAGTAATTGTTAAGAGTTTGCGTAACTGTTGCTTGTTTTCGTTAACAGAACAAAATCGCAATCTCACGGGTCTGGCACTGGTCCAGTCTGCACTGCGTGCAGCATTTTATAACTGCGAGGGGTAAGGAGAACTTGAGCTACACGAGGGGTCATAGTAATAGTAAAAAGACAGCCCCCTTACCCACACAACTGACTAATAAGCGAATACCGGGCAGGGCCAAAGGAACCCATTTGTTAATTTAGAAATAAGGGGGCGTGTTCGATGGGGGAAATATGCACAGGGTCTCATCCTACCCACGTGTTTGAGGAGGACTGAGCAGATATCTGATCTGCCATTTATCTGTCGTGAAGAAAGTGTTCATTAAAAATCAAGACCTCACTGCTTGTCTGCACTGGTTTTATTCGCTAAAAAACTATAGCTGCTAGATAAAGCCGCAACAATATATCTTTTAAAAAGTATTTGAAAAAAAAAACACATCCATAGCGGAGGATACAACCGAAATGTATTTTTTTTAATATATGGTAACAGATAAAGAATCATTGTATTAGGACTCGTCTGCTTTCCAAAAAAAAACGTTTATAATAGACAAGCGAATACACTCCTCACTTTTGACTTGTGTTGAATTGCGTAACGCTTGGAACAAACCCAACAGCTGGAACAGATATCTGAAAATGGGGTCTTTCAAAAAAGAATTTAAGCGTTTTCAAACGTGCAGCCCGTTTAAGTGACATTGTGGCATTATTTTCATTTATAGCAAGCTGCAATGTACAAAACAAAGAGCGGTACGATTCCGCTTAAACACGATTGTATGATTATAAAAACTGGATTATAATAATATAAACTGGATTATAACATTAACATACATCTGATTAGAATTGAACCGGTTTTCCGTTTAAATTGTGCACGGATCACTTTTATGATATAGATCATACGAACCGATCCGTAGACAAAAACGAAATATATTAATATTTACTAGCTTTCTGGCTCTACAGTTTTCTGCCCGAAAAGACATGCTACTTTACATAAAGGGTTGTGGGAGTCGGCAACAAATAGCGTCGAAGTTGTTAAAGAAGCTGTCGATTAGATCCTTGGCTCAATGTACTACTAAACGCTAAATAGGTCGAATGGGCTGTTATTTCAAATCTTTACTATGTGCTTGGAAATTGGAGAGCACCGTTGATGTAACCAACTATATTTTAATCCAAACTCTCGAGTGCCAAAAAAGGCAAAAGGCACAAATATGAATCCTGTGTACACTGCGTTAAAAGACTTTCAGAAAGCAGTCGGATTTTTTAAGTCCGTCTTCTTTTTTTTTTGCCAAACAATATATACAGGTTTTGGTAAGTAAAATATGCCCAGGCCAATAAATTCAGTAAGGTAATGAATTACGTGTCTCTTTCACAGTGCCTCCTAGACTAGAATTTTAAAAAGAAACGCATGGAAAATAGGATTTTTAATTTAAAAAGAGTTGTTAAGCATCCTGAGAAAAAATTTAGAGTGTGCGTTTGAGAAGCATATCTGCCCAGTGCAATTCTAATATAATAGTAGCGTATTTTCATCATTCACATCCTGACAATCGCTTTTATACGTTAGACCTACCTGGATCTCGTGGATTCGACTGAACCCGTCCCGATAGAAAAACTCAATGAGGTTACTAATGGTGCTTGGTCCCGGCATTTCCCGCAGAGGCTTGACCCGAGTTTGTTTCTCGGCGGCGTCTTGAGGTGGGGTAAACATCTCTGGCAAGACCCTTTCGCCCGCAGCAGGCACTTCCAGCGACTGACTCGCTGACAACTTGGGAAGTTCGTGAAAACCGGCTGCCCGGAGCAAAAGATGAATGCTCTCTCGCTCCAGCGCCTTTTTTCTACCATAGGCGTGAAGCGCATTTGTCAAAAGCGACATTATTGTCATTAGAATGTTTCTTTGGCGAGTTTGAGATGAGCTTCTCTTTCTCCAGACGCTGGGATCTAACCTGCCCGAGAGATACTCGCGGTTCTCCCATCAACCTTTTTAAATGCAGGGAATAACGGGGGAGGGATCACGACATTTGTGGGCAGGGCTACAGCTCTCAGAATATTACTGTCTGCATGAAAAAAAGAAGTTGGCAGAAGATTTCGCAACGCAAACTAGATCTTGGCACTGGTCGAATAACACCGGATTAAAAAAAAAGACTTTAACTGACTTTTCTTAGTCAGGAACCTTACATCTTATTAAAAAGCACCAATGTAGTCAAGTCAGAAGGAGATTGCTTAACAACGCGTTCTTTGGTTTGCTTTTACTGAAGTAAAAATTATCAATTGAATTGAAGGGACTCTAAAAACAGTTAAGACCAAGTAAACAACCATTCACCTGGGGCAGAGGTGAATTTCTTGCACCAGGAATTTGCCTTTTCACCTACCCCAGCTTGCCCTCCATGAGACACACAGGCACACAGATGGGTAGAGAGAAGCTTGGGGTCAGAGTTCAGGGTCAGCCATTTATACGGTGCCCCTGGAGCAGTTGGGGTTAAGGGCCTTGCTCAGGGGCCCAACGAAGTAGGATTCCTCTGCCAGCCACGGGAGTTGAACCGGCAACCTTCCAGACACAGGTGCAGATCCTGAGCCACAGTGTCACACTCTGGGGCTCCAGGCTCCTTCTCAGTTCTGATTAACCTACAGGGCCGAACTCCTTTCCCTCAGCCAGCAGGCCACTTTTGGTCACTCTTGACATCAACTTTTTGCTCTGGCTGAAGGCTGTGGCTGCGTCTCAGACTCCCCCAGCTCCTATCCCTCTTTAACAGCTTCCTCCAATTCAGGGTCACCGGGTCGAGCCGGAGCCTATCTCAGCAAGCAACGGGCGCCAGACAGGGTACAGCCCTGAAACGACACCAGTCCCTCACAAGGCAGGCACACCAGGGGCCAGTTGTCCCAGCTCATCTCACCTCTTGTAGTTGTTTCACATGTGGTCCTTCACTCTCAACCCAGCGGATCTGTGTCTCCCAGGCAGCCTCCTGGGACTCCTGTTTCTTTCTCTGCGGTTCAGTAACCATGAAGGAGCTCACTCTACTCCTTCAAGACGGGAGGCAGTCTGGCTCTCCCTTTTGGCGCCATTTTCCCAGCTCAGGAAGTGTGCCTGGCTCTCCGGGCATTTGGCGCTCGTGGGGAAGGAGACTCAAAAATGACTGTAGAGAGTCCTGCTGGTCTCCCAGCAGCTTCCAGAAGAGTTGTAGCCTCGTGGGCTTCATCTGGGCTCCTGCAGCCAGCTTCAGCTTTGCAACTTTCCCTTTAGTCTTCTTCTCTTTATAATATCCTTACACTTATACAGCGCTTTTCTGGACACTCTGCTCAAAGCGCTTTACAGGTAATGAGGAATCCCACAACCACCACCAATGTGCAGCCCCACCTGGATGACGCGACACCAGTACACTCACCACACACCAGCTAACACTGGGAAGAAGAACAGATTGATAGATGGGGATTATTAGGAGGCCATGATTGGTAAGGGCCAATGGAAAATTTGTCCAAGATGCAGGTGTTACACCTCTACAATTTTTGAGAAGCACCCTGGGATTTTTAATGACCACAGAGAGTCAGGACCTCGGTTTTACATATCATCTGAAGGACGGCGCCTTTTTGCAGTATAGTGTCCCTGTCACTATACTGGGGCATTAGGACCCATACAGACCCTACTGGTCCCACTAACACCTCTTCCTGCAGCAACCTTAGCTTTTCCCAGGAGGTCTCCCATACAGGTACTGGCCAGGCTCACACCTGCTGAGCTTCCGTGGTCTGACGTCTAAAGGAATTCACTAAGATGTGCTCATCTTGCCTGAGCTGAGGGCACACTGGGGTTGGGTTGTGCTCCACTCCCACTTCTTCCTTGTTCACTGTACATTGATCCTCCACATCTTGGATTTTCTTGATTTTCTCACCACAGGCCTGTCTCTGAGCAGGATGGCCTGTATGTCAGGGTGTGTAGGATTGCTGCAGTAGGGCCAGTCATGTCCATGCTCATCACAACTGACTCTTTATAGTAGTTCAGGTGGGTAGCTGCGTCAGCATGCGTAGGCTGCAAAGGAACAAGTAATTGGTTTATTCCATGCTGAAAACAGAAGAAAGAAAACACAACTTTCTTTAGGTGAAAGCAACTGACTCTGAAACTGACTCTTTATATCTACTGTAGCTCCTACAGCTCTGCTGAAATTGAAGGTTGACAAGACATGGATCAAACTTCAAGTCAGAGTTCTTAATGGTTTAATTTCGTCCTTTGCCCAGATCAAGGTTCTAAAATGTTTAATTTGACATATCTACTTTGTTTAAGCTGAGTTTTATAAAAGGTGTGACGGTGTACCCTAGCACGGTCTGCAACAAACCATAGGCCAAAGACATCACTGCCTTGGTTTGAAAAAAAAGAAACTACGACTGAAAATAGCACCATTAAGACCACTTTATGAGCCATATACAATTTCGTGCATTAGGAATTTGTCTTTTCACATACCCCACCTTGCTCTCCATGAGACACACAGACGGGGAGAGAGAAGCTTGGGGTCAGAGCGCAGGGTCAGCCATTTATAAGGCGCCCCTGGAGCAGTTGAGGTTAAGGGCCTTGCTCAGGGGCCCAATGGAGTAGGATTCCTCTGCTGGCCGCGGGATTTGAACCGGCAACCTTCCAGCCACAGGCGCAGATCCTGAGCCACATATCGGCAAGTAATTTAAAGACTTGCGTGACACGCCTTGGGTTGCGGTGTAGTGTCATAAACAAGCTCATTTATAGGTAAAACAGATGCAATCCGCTGTAATTTGAAACAACAGTGTTTTTTCATTCACAGTGTGAGGCAGGGCCAATGAAATTCCAAAATTCATTGGAGACACAAAAAAAAAGTCTGAGTTCCTCTTTGAGTTTGTAGCTATTTCATGAGCCCTCTCTATAAACTCAGCCAGTAGGCCACTAAGCTGCTCACTGGCTCCGAAACAAAGTTTCCCTGCAGAGACCCCTCCAAAAACTCACAAACAAAACTCAGATTTTGGATGATTCATTCTCTCTCTCCTCCCATAGAGTCACATGACAGAGGATCTGCCCTCTGTCTCTAGCCAGCACACTGCGCAGTGGAGGCCTCAGTGGAGCAGTGGGTCAGGTGACAGAGGATCTGAGGATGTCAGGACATTTCCTAGGTTACTGGGAAATGTAGTTCAGACACGATCTTGTCTTAACCAGCAGCCCTTCTGCAATGCAAAGTGTATATGCAAACCATGATCACTAGATTCATGCAGTCTCTGATGCATTTCACTCAGAGCTAACATTAGGAGGCATATAACAAAGTAAAAATGACCCAGAAAAACAATTAGGAATACAAAAATAAAAACAAAAAGAAACCATAAAAAATCCAGTTCAAATCAGCCTACTAATTTATAGAAACAGGTCTTAAATCTTGATTTAAATTAGGTACTGCAGACAAACTAGCCTATGTGAGTAGTGTTTCATGGAGCCTCAGATCAAAAAGCAACTTTGACTCAGCTTCATCTTTGGAATCACGTTGGCAAATTCTGCAACCTTATGAAGACATCTTCATAATTAAGGACACCAGCCAGAAACGATCTGAGATGGGTGTAAAGTTACTCAAAAATGAATTGCATTATTACATTATGTTACATGTAACAACATTACCTTACCCTTGTAACTCAGAGGTCATGCACCTTAAAGAGGCAGACTGTCTGTTAACCAGTTATTGACTAGTGTTTCACCATAAGGAAGAAAAACCATCAAGAGCAAAGAGTAGAACAATTCATAGTGACTATTAGTTTTACACGGTGCTTTTTGTCTATTTTTATGTTAGTTTGGTTAATTTTGGTCCATTGATCCACTCTTTATCCTTCAAGTACAAAGTTAACAGTTTGTATTTCAATTTTCTTGATTATCTAGAACGTAGGTGGACATCGCAAATGTGCTAGACAGTAGCGTGAGTATTTAAAGATTATTTCCCATGAGGTCCATCAGAAAGAGAGACCCAGACAAGAACATTCAGGGAAAATTAAAAATCGTTCAGTTCCATTAATTCTGCCTGTTGTTCCTACCCACTATCCATCTCGGTTTTTCACTTGACGTCAGATTTTTCACCAAAATCGATCTCTTTGCAACCACGGCCCTACCGACCCCGTATGCTCTGAGACAAAACATAAAATGTACAGGAAATTAATCTGAGTTTTTTGCAAAAAAAAAGTTTTGAACACTTTGAGATTCTGATTGCCACTCAACAGACACTATATAGGATACACATTAATTACGTGATCTCTTGGTTCACTGATTGAGTGGACTGTGCTTAACAACAAGCCTGGCTTACTCTCAAACTTGTAAATTGTTTCTGGAACTACTTTGCTGCAAGTTTTTTTTTTTAAACCTACATCTTACCAAAACAGCTGGTACAGCCGCACCTCCAAAGCATATTTTGTGTTTTTATACAACACCCGGAATAAGTTTGAATACAACAGTTAATGGAGGAAAGAGCAATGTTTTCCTCAGAACGCCAAAGAACTTCTGTTCTACCTCCTTTCAAATGAAAATCCAATCATTAGTACTAAAACAAAATCTTCACGTAATAACTGAAAATCACAAAAGCGCATTAAACCCACTATGCATTGTGCATTGGGGGTAATACTGTTGATCCGATTAGAGGATGAAAAAGAGCAAGGCTGAATGAACTGTGTTCACTTTTTAAATCTTATTCAGAGAGCTATTCCCCAGAGAGGCATCTCCTCTAAAGGATGAGGATAAGCTCTTGAATCAACATCAGAAAGTGAAGGATGATTATAAAAACACAGCGAGACTAGTCAAGCCAAACAAGAGCATTAAAATAGCTGGATTTACATATCGTAGGTTCACATTGTCCATTGACTGCTGAATGAGTGAACTGGTGAAGGGCTGAGAGAGATATTTTCACCCGTGGTTAGTTTAGACTGGTTTGGTTTGTAAAGGGGCTGACAGTGGTAGTTGTTGTTGTGCTTGTCGTTTAGTTTTTTGC